TTTTGAACGACCAAAATTGACATATTTATAAAAGAGTGAATGTGACTTCAAACATTCCCTAGCGGTGAATCCATGAGTAATTTAGGTGCATGCACCTGTAAGATTTATCTGCAGTGAATGTTTGGTTAATGTCATATTTGCCGCTTTATAAATAGGCCCGTAACTCTTTAAACCAAAGTTTCAATTGTTGTATTTCTTATCTGGAAAAGCTAATATAAATATAACAAAGTGGTGGGAAAAGGATACTGTGTTTAAACAATTTTTGTCCTGTTAATCCTTTATTATCTGAGAAACTAGTGGGGTGTCCTCTGATTACATACTTTGTGCTAAAAGGGGTCCCTCTTTTTTTACCCTAGAAAGTTGAGAGGTATATGTATACTGTATGTATACAGTGAATAAAGGAGATGGCAGTGCTGTCAAGACACGCAGAGGTAGCCTGACGGGTAGCGAACACATTGCCCGCACAGCACCTCTCACCCTCCTCTGTTCATGACAGAACATCGGCAGCCCTCCTTGCCATGCAGCCCCGTGCCTCCTCTGTTGCCTCTGGACTGATACACAACCTCTAACAACTGCCAGCTAGCTCAGAGTAGATTACTATAGTAGTAGCTCTGGGCTTGCATTGTGAATGATGGCAGCTGCAGAGAAGGACTGCTATTTACAAAAGCATTTAATGGGTTACCTTTGATCTACACATGACACTAGTTCAAGCAAAATAAAAAAGTTTTAAAAAAAAGTTGTATTTCTTTTAAAAAAATATTCACCATTTATTTGTTTGCAGATGACACAAACCTTTGTGGTGGTGTAAACAAAACTGAACCCCCCCCCCCCCCCCCCCCAGAGCTTTTTAGCCATAATGTGCTGGTACGCATAGCATATTAGCACATTATGGCAGACTTACCTGCCAAAGCGATCACTGCAATGTCAGCACTCTTCTCCCTCACTGGCGCTCCATCTTCGCTCCAGTCATCATCCACACAACAGGAGTTACTTTCTCTCAGCAAGGATTTCTGCCAAGCCTGCGAACTGAGCTGTGCACGTGTGGCTCAGTTCACAGAAGAAAAAAGTCCTGATAGACAGATAGAAGGATGTATGGCAGAAGAGACTTACACAGCTTGTCGGTCAGCACTTCTTTTTTAAAGTTTAACTTAAAGTGACATTAAAAAGGCAAACATTGTTTTCCCTCCCCCCAATGTTAATGTTAGCACTTACCTTAAATTATGTCTCTTTTTCCGATCTTGTTCTTTCCTGATGTTTTCAGCCTTCTCTCCAACGGTGCAGCGGCTCTCTGATCCAGCGCTGACTACTCTGTCCCTCCGATCCAGCGGTGTCTGCATGCGGGTGCACGCGTCCACAGACTTACCTTGAGTCCCTCGTCGCGTCCCTGCCGAAAATGAGAACTGTGCATGCGCGTGTCCCAAGATCCTTTGCGGCCGCTCAAGAAATTTCTCATTTTCGCACGGGACCGCGCACGGAACACAGGGTAAGTCTAAGTGTAAGTTTTTGTTTTTTTACTTTTAGCATATATCTACTGCTTGCTAGCTGTAGATATATGAAAAAAAAACGGGAGGGTTTAAATATCCTTTAACTACCCTTTATTAGGACATGCTGCGTCCAGCAAAACACAGCCTCTGAATTGCCATATGCACTGCTCAAATAGTCAATGGGTTTTTACGTGCATTTGGTAGCACAGCTTAGCAAAATCCCATTAACAAACACTGGAAAACAACTGTTTTAATTCTACAATCCTACAATGGGGACATAGACAGCAGTAACTGATAGAAGTTCTATACCTTCTTCACTCTATCAAAAACTTAGCAAAAGATTGTCTACACATGCTGTTCTTCTCTTAGGCCTGGTTCACACCTAGGCGTTCTTGAGCAGTTGGTAAGCGCTTTTAAAACGCCCAACACAAAAAAATCCCATGATTTTCAACGGCCCCTGTTCACACATGAGCAGCAAAAGGCCAGCAGGAAAAAACGCCAAACGCCTGAAAAGGTACATGAGCTTCTTTGGGCGGTTAACAGCGGCAATAGCATGTTGCACATTTTTGTGCGCATTTTTGCACGCTTGCTGCCAGTCAAAACACGCGTCATGTACGCGCGTACAAACGTGCATGAAAAATGTGCACAACACGTATAATCATGCAAATAACCGCACGCTGGACAAGTGCGTACAAACACGCAAAAACTATGCCGCCTAGGGCTAAACCCGGTCTCAGAGAAGTTCAATTGGCATCACATATTCCAAAGTGGCTGAGAAACATTAACAGCACAATGCAAAATACAGTCTATAAATGTTGCAGTAGCAGAGCAAAGCTACTATGAAACACAGCAGTAATTTTTGAAGCAGCTCTGGATACAGAATTGGGGTTCCTAGGTATGCAGCTCAACTGCCACATCAGAGCTGACAAATGTGGAGGCCTGCGAAACCTATAGTAACTGTATGGGGTTGATTTATGGAGACTTTTATAAAGAATAACAGAGATGTTGCCTGTGGTAAATTAGATTACATACTTAATTTTCGTTAGTAAATTAACTAGGATACTTGTCTCAGTTTAAGTAGACTAGATGTAAAAGAAGGTGAAATTCATAAGCCAGCTAATGCTTTTTTTTTGCGAGTAGATTCCTAATACACACAGTGAACAGGCTATGATTTTGTCCACAATTTCAGTTTCCTTGTACACACATGGATGCAAGCCATGACATGCAATCCATCTTTCAATAAGGAAATGTGGTGGAAACCTCTTAATCCCTCTCTGACAGACTTTCACCCTCATTGGTAATCACTACTTTATTCGCTCTGAAAAAGCTGTTAGATTTCCCCCACTAAACCAGAATTGTGTATAATTACACCCGTGTGTGCTCGATCTAAGCCTTTCCAGAGTGGAAGAGGTTAACACCCTGAAGATATATGGTTTGTGTTTTCACTTACACCAGTTTCTGACATTTTAATATAAGAAAAAATCTAAAAAAAAAAAAATTTACAAGGAATTTTTTTTTCCAATGACAAAATGAAAAAAAACAAAAAAAGCAGAGGTTTTCAATGGCAGTCTTCTAAATAACTATGTGCACTCCAGGCGTTTGTGGCTTGCTCTTTCCACTTGAGTAATGGTGAATGATCAAACTTTCCAGACAAGGATTTCCAGAGTTGGCTCAACACTGATTTATAGCGAAATAGCAGTCCAAGCAAACAGAAACACAATAGTAAAAAACATGCCTTGCCATGGAGGAAAAACAGTTATAGTTCATTGTCAGGTCCCCAACCTATATGAATTAAACAATTTCTGTGTGTCTACATGAAAGTGCAATTGTATGTTACCTTTAGTACTAACACTGCTCAAAGAGCTGCAATGTGATCATCATTCAACACATCAATTACTCGCCAAATGCGAGCGGGCAAGTGGACATTTTGAGCCCTGTATGTATGTATATATATATATATATACACACATACAGGGCTCAAAATGTCCAATTGCCCCCTCGCAATTGGCGAGTGAAAATATATCACAAATAATGTGTGATATATCATAACATATGTTATCATTCTAGTCCAAACCATTAGATCATTAGAAAACAATCACTCACCTGAGGCTTGCATTTCTGATCAGTCCATGTTAGTTTAATTCACAGCCAGTGAACTGTGCTGGTGGTTTATCACAGCAAAACGGTGGCTTACCAATCAGTTGTGGCACCTTATGCAGATTTTTTTCTTCTTCTATTACCGAGCCTCTTCCACCAGACACACAATACAAACTGTAGTGTTCCCCATTGGCGGTCATTGGTGAATTGCCTCCCCCATTACAGTGGTGGTCATTGGTAAATTCGCCCACCACCCCCCTTGTTACACTGATTGATGACTAGTGATGAGATGTTACCCCCACACACACTTTTGCACTGGCGGTCAGTGGTGAAGTAGCACTCTGTTACATTGTTGGTGGAGCTAAACTGATCCATCTTATAATGGGTTCTGTACTTGAGAAAATAGGTGCTCTATGTCCTGTGCTGCTGCCTCTACCAAGCCACGTGAGAACTAAAAACAGGGTATCAATCTGCCTAAGGGCCCATTCATACTGGTGCAATGCATCAATCACACTATTCATTGCGATTAACACACTGTACAAAGCACCTACTGTGGGTTAACAGTGTGGGAGGTGTTCTGCATTGCCATTCATTTGAATGGCACCCCAAACGCACCTCACACCCACAATGCATTTGATCGTGCTGCAACATGGCAGTGCAATTACGAAAAAAAGCAGTGCCTGCAATGCTCACCATTGTTTGAAGGCACCCAAGGTGGAGCACACCTGATGATTTAGTATCCAATGTGTAAACCCAAGTTTCTACTTTAAACATCGGTATCCCATACACCTTCTGCCCGAATACACCAAAATGTACTGCGCAGCAATCTTACCATTAATGCCAAATTTTAAAGGCAGTCTGGGAGGAAAGCAGACTTTTTAGCATGAAGGCAGCTCAGACAAATTATACAAAAATAACAAATGATACCAAATAAGTAATTATATAAATGATGTAGTTTTTATTTATAATATACTAACACAGGTGTTGAAGACCATAATATCGGTATTCATTTATAAATTTGACCCCCATGAAATTCACAACTTCAACCATTGCAGATGGTAAGCAATACATACAAAGAGAAAATCTAATACTGCTGAAAATGAATTATAAGGGAGTAGCATGAAAGCTGCCATTACTCACATCTCCTTTTGCAATGCTAGTTGTCTGGCTGTGAACCTGATCCAATTTCATTGAGTTCTTCACTCACTGATCTAGTGTAAAATTAGGTACCTCGGCTTATATTCGGGACGGCTTATACTCGAGTAAATACGGTATGTAGCTCAGGAGTTCTGACATCATTCAGATTTCACTGGTTGCCTGCCTGCTACAAGTCATTGACTCAAAGTATTAGCAGTAAAAAAAAAAAAATCAGAATGTCAGAGCTAGCCTTTCACAATAAGGTCAGAAATTGCAGTCTCTACATTTCTCTTACTACAGGTTTCCTTGAAGTGTACAAAAACAAAATTTTACTGTGGGAGCAACCTTATTTTTTGGCAACAAAGAGAAAAATAAGATTGTCTCACTGGAAACAGATCATAAGGCATTTTACACATACCCTATAAAAACATTTATTGAAAAGAACTGAAGATTAAGACCCAAGTGCAAATGGATAGAAGATGCCGTGCAATAAAAGACATTTCTTGCCATGGTTGGAAAGCAGAAGCACCTACAGATAAACAACCAGAATGTCACCCCAGAGGGCAGAAGATGAAACAGAAATGGGTCTGTTATAATGCAGATTCAAAGAATTGGTCCGGACTGGGCCCCGTTTTCTCTCTGTGCCTTCCAAAGAGGGTGACGTCATTGTATTTCTTCACAATCGTACTTGAAATCTTGCAGTACTTCACTGATTGCTTCCACGGTTTTAATTATCCTAAGGGAACGGATGGGAGCTATAAATAATATACATCTGGCTTACATTACACACAATATAGAAGTTTAGGTAGTGTTTATGAAACACCCAGAATAACAGCCGCAGTGCTTGTTTAGAGCCGAGGCGATTGCAAAGTGTTGTCATAGTAATGTATATCCGTCACAATAATAACAAAAATAACCATTATCACTCTTTGTCAGTTTATGGGTTTTAAGAAGGGTGCCACTTGTAAACGTATTACAGTAACCATTTTTGGTTGACATTTAGTTTTTCTCGGCATCACATTGATGTCGCAAAAGGCATTTCTAACTGCCCAGCTGAAAGTGATTTTTTACCATAACAATGTTGCCTTTGTTGTGTAGTAAATACACAATAATGTGTACCTTGCACTAAATAATCAATGACTCATAAAACTACTAGTCTTTTTAGAGTCTTTGCAATGTTTCTTAGGCCCTATTCAGACTTGTGATTGGGGCATTCTCAACTGCTCCTTGAAACTCATGCGAACAGCTGCGTGCAGGAAGCGCTATACAAAGCAATAACAGTTGACAGCACCCGTTCACATTAAAACGGACATGTTGCAATTAAAGACTTTGTGAAATCCTGAACTTAGAAAATTATGGAAGATAGTTTACATAGTACATTTTTACATGTACTTAAAAACACTTTAAAACATTCACCTCTGTAGCTGTAGGCATTGTGGAGAAATTCATAATAAAATTTTCAAACACATGCACAAAAATGATAGCTCCTCTTTGCTTTATATTCAATGATAGCAGAATATTGGCAGCCTGCCAGTCCTTTAATCTATGCAAACACCAGGTGCTTGTAAGCAGATAAAAGCCCACTGAAATCTATCTTTACTGTTGTTATCTTTAACCCCATGCTGCAGATACCCAGTGGCCCTATAAGGGGATCTTGATGGTAGTAATCAGAGGTGGGCTTCTATGAATGGCTGTCACAGCGGTCACATGATCAGGAACCCATCCCACCAGCTTCCAATCATAGTGACCGGGAACTGTCAGCACAGAACAGCGAGCCAGCTGACAATATATGCATACAGCTGTCGTGAAGGCCCACCCACCGTGACGCATATGTGTGTTACACTGGCGGGAAGGATCTCATGCACATAGAAAGGTCAGTAATCATTTGTTTTCAACTTTTTTTTTTTAATTTGTTAAGAATATGTAAACAGTTTAGGGCCAGTTCACCTTACAACACCATGTACTGCAAACATGCTGTGTTAGGCAGCCCATTCATAATGACACGCATACAAATCTAGTGCAGGATGCACATTTGTGTTGCACTATGTTGCAACAGGTGTGTTGGGGAGGCGTTCAAAATGAAGGGTGGTGTAGTACGCAATTACACGCATTATCGCGGCATGGTGTCCTTAATGTCCATAATTTGTGCGCAGGTGCACTTTAAAGGGAATGCACAATGATTTTGCATGTACTTTATTATCATACCATAATTATGATAGCTTCCAATTTTCGCTTATTTGGATCTGCTGTATAGACCTCTATACAAATGCACTATTAAAGTCTATTTCCGGGCAAATATTAAACCCCCTCCCAACCCCTCTAACCCATAGTATGGCGGTCTAGGGGAGACCAAGCTTTCCTCCCGTACCGCTGGCTCAGCCTCCTGTGACAGCGAGTCAGGATGGAGAGCTGTTACAAGCAGTCAGCAATCAGCTGATCGTTGACTGCTTGTAAATAATTGAGGACATAGTAAGTCCACAACCAGGAGTGAACAGGAAGTGATGTAGTGCACTTCATAATTGGGGACACAGTAAACAAACTATGTCCTCAATTATTTACTAGCAGTCAGAGGTCAGCTGGTTGCTGACTGCTTGTAACTGCTCTCCATCCTGACTCGCTGTTACAGGAGACTGAGCTGGCGGTGTGGGAGGAAAGCTCGGTTTTTCTTTTGACAGCTGTCTGTTCCCCCACACCGCCGGCTCTGCCTCCTGTGACAGCTCACAGCTGTCTCATCCCCCACACTGCTCTCCATCCTGATCTGTCACAGGAGGCTGAGTGGGGCGTTGCGGGAGGAGAGCTCGGCCTCCTGTGACACGCTGCTCACAGCACTTTCCTCTATGCCCCGCTTGGCCTTTTGACAGTTTCTCTCCTCCCGGCTGGATGCTGCTCTGTGTCATAGGGGGCACAGGGCAGTGCCCAGCGGGGAGGAAATAAACCATGGATGCACCGCAATTTCTGGCGCAAAATTGTACTTTTAGCATTTTGCCCAAAGTATAATTGTAGGCTGATATGTTTCGGCGGCTGAAATTTCGGTGCATCCCTCAGCACTGAGGTCCAAAAAAAGATGAAAAACTATGGCAACGAATGCACAATGCTCTAGCAAATTAAAGTCATCACACAATGATGCCATGCTGTAACGGATGTGCCACAACACGCTTTATTGTATTGCAGTGTGCTGCGTACCTCAGTCCAAACATTTTGGATACACCCAATGCAGGAATTATTGTTCCTGCTCTAAATTATTTCCACCACAACATGCAGCCGTTGTGGTGCACAGTAGTCCAGGTCTGTTCTGTAGATGCGATTGGTGTGTTTAAATTGGCTCTTAGAGTGTTATTTGATTCCTAGCTCAGTTTTTTTCTATCTAACAATAAAAATATATTGATATAAATTACCTATTTATCTAGGTGTTAACATTTTCTGAATTGAACTTAATCTCTCCTTTTTGAAAATGCAGAGCCTATTTAACAAATAGCTCAACTGTGAAAGACACGGAATTAGTGGGTAAGGTTTTTGTTTATATCTTATATCTTTTGCCTTTTTTCCCCATTTCCATTCTGATTGAGATAGATGGAGCAGGCTAGCCAGGATCTGATCCAGCCTTTCATGCTACTCTGAAGAAGCAGAGCACTGCTATCTATTGATCACTGTAAGAAACAGATACCTATTACAGTAATGCTTTGCTATAAAAAAGACTCACCTTTAGCATGGGCCTATTTGTCTACAGAACAACATAATTCCCTAGATGTCCTAAAGGGTGCAGGATCCTAGGAGCTTGGCTTTTGACCATGACTGTCAAAGACAGCTGATTTTTTTTTGGCCTGGGGTGGGTGCGCAAAAACTAAACACCATAGTCAACAAAAAAAGTGCACTACGGTGCAGTGTGTCAAATGGTCCATCTCCCAAAGAGATAGGGTCCTTTCCCTGACACCACCCTCCCGGGCGCAAGGCTCCTGACAGGGGCAGAGCACTCGTCCACCTAGCCGAAGTCAGGCAGACCCATACTTCTAGGTTAGCTGAAACCGACCGCCTAACAATAGGTTGGGGGCTCTCCCGAATGAAGACCCTCAGTTCAGGGGAGGACGGAACCTGATGGCCTCCTCCTAGACTTGCGGCAGGCCCGAAGACCCATACCCTCCTAATGAAGTGAAAAATACACACATAAAAAAGTGAAAGTGCAGAGAAAGTGCAAGTGAGAAAATTAAATAAGTGCCAATCTGCAAGACAATGGCTTTGCAGCCTGCTATAAAAATTACCCATCTTAGTCAAAAGGCCTAGCCCAAGAGGCGTAGTGCAGAAAAACCAAGTTGTGCATGGCCTGAGTGCCTTTCACACGGTGAGGTCCCAAACCCATGGTGTTACTTGAGCACCAACGGGACGCTACTCCCGGGGGGCGCTTGACACAGCAGACTCCCCGTCTTCCCAGCCCACAACCAGGCAGGCACTGGTACCCTCCAGATCCAGGACCAAAGTAAGTACTCCTGATCCCCACTCTCATGCGAGTTGAGACCCAATTCAGTTTCCTTAATACCGGCCAGAACCCTTTGGGACTCCCATCTTCTCTGGCAGGGTATTCTGCAGTCAACTAATCCTACCATAAGGCCAGAACAGCGACACAACTTCCCTTCTGAACACTGATAAGAACAGCTACTACACTTGATCTTAGCCAGAAGGCCTGTCAATGACGGCTGATGGTTGGCGAGTCCACCGTTTGCCCAATTACACCTTACAGAGTATATATTGAACAACTGTTTACTTGAAATTCCTAACAGAGAGACAAGTAGAGATTATATCAAGTAGAGTATATATATTGTGTAAGTGTAAGGAAGATCTTGATCGGATCAAGAGGCATCATTTAAGGTAACTCCCTAAAGCAGTATGGCGGGGGAGAAAAAGATTTTTCCTGACCCTTTCATACATAAGTATGTCTATTAAGCATTAGAAAAGCGTATGCCTTGAACCACATACAAGTCTGAAAACGTTTAGCAATTACGGTTACTTACTTATGTTTTAGTTGCTGCACCTCCTCTTTGTAGGACTCCTGACTGGGGTGGTCTTGGACATTCTGTTTGGCTAACTGCAGTCTAGCTGTCTGATAAAATGAGATCAGACTTGTGAGTACAGCTTACTATACAGGATTAGCAAGTCAGCATATTTGACTGTAATTTACATAAGATATATACTTTACCAATGATAATTTTTCCTTCTCCAGCTCTTGAATTTTGTCTAGATGTTCTGAGAGATCAGACCTATCATATACCTCCCGAAACCGATCCTTCATCTGGATAATCTCTTTGCTGATGCCATTGAAAGCCTGTGTGATCTCATGCACCAGCATCCGATATTGGATAAAGTCATAGTGTGGGCCAGATTTCATGTATGCCTGATGCCCCCTGAAATAAAAAGAGTATAAAGACACAACCAAGCTCCAATAAAAAGCACAGTTTATAAGCATTGGAAAGTAGCAGAAATATGTGTAGGAATATATTATTTTAAATACAGTTTAACTACATGCTTTTAAATTAGGGTAACATGGTACATCCTATCCTCTGATAAAGGACCCCATTGGGTAAGAGAGTGAAGGAACTAAAGTTTATGACACAGTGGTGAGCGGTTCTCCACTCTGCTCTGTGTGATTAGAGAGACAGGAGCGCTGTACTCACAGTGCTTCCCGTTTCAGATGTTACAAGCCGGGCTGCACAGGAGATTGGGCTTCTGCTACTGGAGATTTAGTCGACTAAACAAACTATTCAGATGACTAAAATACCTAAAACTAAAATGGCATTTTAGCAAAAAGACTCAAACTAAGACTAAATTAAAATTTGCCATCAAAATTAACACTGGTGCCATATTGTGGTAGCCAGGCAGCAGCGCTCTCTAACATGCACAGTGTTCATTAAGGGGTAAATTCACTTTCCCAAGTAATTTGGCACCAAATGCCCCTCATTTTCCTAAAACTGGTGTGCTGGTGAAATCCTGCACTCTGACTTATTGAGTGGGTCCATAGCAAAACACAAAAAAAACCAGACCTTGTCCTGTCCCTCTGACTGCACTGGTTCTAGATAGAAAAACTGATCTATTTAACTGCTTGAAGACCATGGTGTTTACACCCCCTTCCTGGCCAGGCCATTTTTCAGTATTTAGCGCTGAGGTACTTTGACTGACGTTTATTCCGTCATGCAACGCTGTACTGAAACGAATTTTATACCATTTTTTGGGGACAGATAGAGCTTTCTTTTGGTGGTATTTAATCACCACTGGGGTTTTAATTTCTTTACTATATAACAAAAAAAGTACCCTAAATTTTGGTTTCCCTATGAAATGTTATGAAACATTTATTATCACCCCAATTTTTTGGTAAAATATAAAAGATGGGGTCACATCGGGTAAATAGACACCAAACATGTCAAGCTTCAAAATAGCGCGCGCCCGCGAAATTGCAGAAAACTACCACACTCAAAATTGGCCATTGGCAACGCTTTAAAAGCTTTTACCACTTTTATCAGTTTAATGTCATCAGTAATTAATGGCCCTAAAATTATTGCTCGCACTCTGACGTTCGCGGCGATATGTAACATGTGCGGCAATAGTTGGAATCGTCGTTTTCGCACGTTGGTGCACCTGACGCATGTTTGCGTGTGTATGTGGGAGGGGGGTGCGGGGGGAGGGGCAGGCAGGACATCTTAAGACGCCCTCCCGCTCCTACAAGACTCCCGTCCGGCCGTTCAGGAATGGCCATGGACGGGAGGTGGTTAAGGCAAGCGCACAAAAATCAAATACTGTAAACACCACTGTTTAACATCAACTGTGGATCTCATAATCAGACAAGTTTTAGTGGGGACTTTTACTGAATATAACTAAATACTTAGCAACATCTATGCTTTTTGTTTATTTCACAGACAGAGTAGTCATTGGGCATTCATGGCTGCCTTTCTAGCTATTATTGAGTACCTTCGCACCTCTAAGTAGCATAGTTTGCGCACAACATTTAAAGATCGTGTCTTCAAGCTGTTTACAAGTGGGCAGATGGCAAATAGAGAATCATGGCCAGCATTAGCGAGATGCCACTGTTTGTTTTGTAGCCAAAATAAAAGGATCGGCAAGGAATAAACGCTGTGCAGCACTACCAAGCAAAAGCACCATTTGCATATGTAATGGACAAATACATCTACTCCTATCTACATATTCAATGGCAAACTATCCAAGAAATTATATACAGATTGAGAAGACTATTTAAAACAACCTTGCTTTTAAAAGTATCTTAAAAAAATATTTCCCCTCAACTTACATCAATCAAAACAGTGCAGCTAAAATGTGCAGAAGTGCCTTTCCTTCCACCTAATGTGAAAACTCAAATCAGAACAATGAATAAACACTGAAGACACTGACAACACTGTAAAAAAAAAGGGGTTCTTTTTGCAACAAATTCACTTTACCCCAGATTCTTTATTTTATTTGAAACCAATCCTTGAGGTTAATATTCTCAAAGTATTATAGCCAATAAAACACACAACTTCTATATTGACTTTATGAGTGTGTTTGTTAATCCTCAGTAACACAAATATGATTAACACATTGCAGAAAAAGTTGTATATTTCTTATAGATAAAGGACACAGAGCTAGCAGATGTCTTTATATCAACAATCTGCAATATCCTGTCATCTGGGAAAGTTTAACTTTTTATTATATACTTTTTTTATTTCATTATTTTTTCAAATAGACGTTCCAGATTTATAAAAATGTATTTAAATAAGCCAATGATATGAGACAGAAGTGTTAAAATTGGAACAGACACTGTTTTTTGTCTTTGAAAAACTAACTTGCAGATTGACCTAGAAAGATTAACCTTTCAAATCTAGTATACGTTCATAAAGAGCTGTTTAAATAAAAGGACAAAGTTGCAGATGCTTTTGGATAGATGTGTGAAATAATAATTTTCAGGTTTTACAGCTAAAAGATGGAAAATCTGGATTGCATATTGTATTAGATACAGCTGAGATAGATAACATAAGTTACATATCTGGATACATAAGTTACATATCTGGCAGGGTTTCTACATTCGCCTCTCAGAGTTCAAAGGTGAAAAGACTCAGTTTTAAAACTCATGAAATATAATAATTTATATTTGCTGCAGAAGCAAAACAGCCGTGCTACATAAAAATTGCATCACACTGAAAGCAAATTCAGCATCAAGTTTTAATGGTCTGTTAACCAAAAACTGATGTTTCAGTTATATGCAAATACTAATGAACCCACAGGCGGAACTTGCAGAGTCGCAGCGGTTGCAATTGCGACCGGGCCCTGGCGTTCTGCCAGTTGGGCCCAGTCGCAGAGAACATGGACAGAAAAACCGGAGGATGGAGACCTGCAGGTACCAGGTTAGTTGATACTATGTTATCCTCATTGCCGCTACATCACTTACTAATGTCTACGTCCCCCTCCATACCGTCCGTGTTTTATCCAGTGAGCATCCCCCAACGTCTCCACCTAGAACAGACTACAGTCTGTGTATGACCCCCCCTCTGATATGGACAGGAGGAAGAGGGCCCTATTAACCGTCTCAGCTCCCAGCATGCAGCAGGCCAACTCTCCGCAGCTCCTTCCAATGGCGGCGGGGGGGGTCCTTCATAGTTTCTTGCCCTGAAGTTTCTAGTTACACCTTTGGATGAACCTATCAGACTCTAGAGCGGAGATCTCTACACTAGAGTCCCCAACTTAGCTTTAAAAATGAAAGTGACTCTGTCATGTGTAAGGTAGGCATTCTGCAGTTGCTGGACCCCTGAAGAGGCTAGTTGCATGGCTTTGTCTGACTTAATTGCTTTTGAGTCACAGTTCTGCAACAAACATGTTTTAAATGAGTGTCACAAAATGTCAGAATTCTAGACACATGTTGGAACTCCTAGAAAACACTATAAATAACTGGATCATAGTGATATTTCAAACTAACCATTTTCCGTAATTAGTATCACATATTTCTTCAATCTAGCAATAAGTCAGTCAGTTTGTTTAAATGGAGAAAAAGAGTCACTCTGATGTTTGGTATAATTGTGCACACAACACTGGACATGTACCGGAGAAAGTAAAGAAGAAAGTTGTCTGAGGAGCACAGAGACAAAATTATAGCATGTCAAAGGGAAAGGCCCTCCAACCATCTCCAAGCAGCTCGATGTTCCCGTGTCTACAGTTTCAAATATTATTGAGAAGTTTAAAGTCCATGGGAGTGTAGCCAACCTCTCTGAATGTGGCCACAAGAGGAAAACTGAGCCAGGATTGAACAGAAAGTGCAAATGGTAGACAAAGAACCAAGGAAAACTTCCAAAGCGATAAAAGCTGAACTCCAAGGTCAAGGTACAACAGTGTCCGATTGCACCATCTGTCCCTTTTTGAGTGACAATGGGCTCAAAGTAGGAAGGCCCAGAAGGATGCCACAGTTGAATGAAAAACATGAAAAAGCCAAACTGGAATTTGCTGGCTGGAAATGCATATTGTCACATATTGTCTACTGGACTCTTGTTTGGACAGATTTAGGTGAGTTATTCCTAGGATTTACTAAGAACTACAGGCCTACAATGTAAAACAACATATTTGCTTGAAAAACAATGTACCGCTTTTGGTACCTAAAATCCTGAATAATCATACCGCCAGGGAGGTTAAAAGGTCCCTTGGATAGATGTGACTTGCCAAAAACTCCAGTTTTGTCTCATCTGCTCTATGCTCACAGATAAAAAAGGAAGCATTTTCAAAGAAAAGAACACTGTACCTACTGTGAAACATGGAGGAGGCTCAGTTATGTTTTGGGGCTGTTTTGCTGCATCTGGCACAAGGTGTCGTCAATCTGTGCAATGAAATCTTAAGTCTATCAAGAAAGTCGCAGGCCATGGGTCCTCCAACAGGATAGAACAAACATTGGACTATTCTGCAGTAGACATCTATGAGCCCTTATCTGAATCCTACTAAACATCTATGGAAAGAACTGAAAGAGCTGGAGCAGTTTGCACAAGAAGAGTAGGCCACACTACCTGTGGGTAGCTGCAGAAGTCTCATTAAGAGCTACAGAAATCACTTGTTTGCAGTTATTGCCGCTAAAGGTCACGTAACAATATATTAGATTAAGGGTCCCATTATTTTTGTCATTAACATTTTCATTTGTACAAAGCCACTTTGCACTGGTGATAACAGGTCCCGTTACAGTGTTGGTTAGTGGTTAAGTGGCCCTTTACCTTGGTTTTCAGTGGAAACATTGGGATGTCGCTAGTTACATAGAGAAGCAAGGCTCTGGTTCTACCAAGTGATGGTGCAAAAACGATGCAGGCACTCTTAGTCAAGGAGGCTGGGTGTTGACAGAACCAAGGCTCTAAGCTCACAAACAGGAGCACATGCCCATAGCAATGCC